AATATATATATACGAACACTAGTATATATATATATATATATATATATAAACGAGATGAATGGTATATTTCCAATACCATCGGGAGAAAAAGACCCATGCCAAGTTCTGAGTCGCATACACTAATGTTTGTATACGAACATGCTTCAAGTAACACCGCTACCCACAAATGGCACCGTAGGTATGGATGTAGCCGGCGGGGTTGATAGTCAGACTTTTGATAATCACTCGATGGGATCACAAATGATTCAGTTGATTCCTGAAATAGTTGAAGGGGAGCGATTACCATTGGGCACAGAATGGACAGGTGAACGTATGAAGCAGGTATCGCAATGTGATGAGGAAGATCCGGATGATTGGTATCATTGTTTCGCTGCCGCACTCGACAGGAGGAGGAACAATAAAGGTGTGATATGGGCGTGCGGATGATGAAACTGGGCTCGTATTTTTAGTAGTGTAAGCACTTCACACCTCCGGTGCGAAACACATTTGGCGCTGTCAATACGAGTGCACAGAAGGCATGATTCAGTACAATAAAGAGAAGCAATGCGAAACCACTGAGAATTCATTTGTGACTCACGAGGACATTTGGGTGCACGTGGTACGAAACGATTGGCACACTATTATAGTGTAACTGTACTTTGGATATGCTCTACAGACGCTGATCAATCTTGCCTTTTTAATTTCAGAGGCAAGGTGCTGCCCGTCGGAGATATTGAGCTTGCGCAGTAAGGTGATGATTCCCGAGAATAGAGCATTGGGGCCTCTCAGGGACAACAAGTACTATCAACGCAGTGCGCCGATGCTTAACGGCCTCCTATACAACCCGTAAGTCGCCAGGCCACTGTATAGTGTACTTGTGCCATACTGATGTCAATGATAGTATTGCCGTAGACATTTTACCATTGGCTGACTTTCTAGCACTTCCCATTGCAGACTGCCTTTGCACTGGGCTTAGTATTGATCATGTGTCTATTGTGCTGCTGCAAATCATAGTCTGTGCACGTTATACTATGTCTAAAGCATCTTACGCAGAGTATGCATCACCTGGGCATACCGCGATATTCTAATTGTTGTCGTTCGTACGCAGGGATGGCAATATTCTGTTCAAGCCAAATACCACCAGCAGTAGCCGACCCCGTAAGCTGATGATTGTGTCTCACCCTGGTATGCGTTGCGAACGTTCGAATTTGTGTGACCTGTCGTAGTATATTACACAGATATATATGTGCAGAATATAGCATGTTGTATTACACAATGTAGTTTCAGGTAGAGAGTTTATGTTGCCCTGCATAGCCTAGTTCCTACGACGACCTGCAAACCACTGCATCTTGGGTTTGCTGCTTTTGGGATTGAAAAGACTAAACATATTCGAGTCCAAATATCTAATCTGCTACGTTACTGTCTGATTTATACGCAGACGATGAAGTTATATTTGGTGGTGGAGACTTATTGGAGAAGGATGGGACACCGAGTAAAGATGACTGGTTTGTCATTTATTCGACGATTGATCCCGGTATGTGCTATCCTATGTGCTTGAGCAACTTGCTTGCGGGGAGTCCTACTTTTATCTACAGTTACACCTTTCCATACCGCCGCATCTGTACGATGAGTTTGTCACACTCACGCCGCGAGAGGCTGCACCACTCTACTCGCCTGAGCCAGTTTTAACTCTTGCTCTGCAAAATGCTTAATAAGTATTTTTGAACGAAACGCTCCCAGTTCTATAGGTCGATTAATTTCTATGTGCTTTTGTCGACAGAACGAATCAACATGACCCGCGTTCTCGCCAACAGATGGCAATGGTCAGGCACTCTACACTTTGCTATGGCCGATACAAATCTGATCAACCAATTGATACACGTGGACTTTGTTGAAGATCTGTGCGAGGTAAATTCGACATTTTCCCTTTGCTGGACTATTTCTATTAAGGGGTTGGTCCTGGGTGGACGGGCCCACATGTATGTAGAAATTGTACATTGGGCATGATTCAGCACCGTATATGTAAAAGTATATCTGCAAAGTGTAGACACACAGTTCCTGGTTTTCTATCATGTGGGGAGTGTAGCAAATGAATTTGTACTTCTCACTTCTGGATCGATTCATTTCAGATACTGTGTTCGAATACTTGGGACGCAGTGGTAACACACGGATTGGATGGAGAGTATGGACATCACTTCCATAAGAAATTATCAAAGTATGTCAAGCCCCATTGCATATTTTTTCCTTTGCCGATAGTGAAATGTCTATTTCTAGTATTTCAAGATCCGAAGCGGCTATCGCTACGCCTCTGACTCAGCAGGTCCGAGCACGCGGATTCAATTTTGAGCATTCCCGCCTTACCACATTCAAAATGTAAATAACGAAAGATAACAAAGGAATTTTGGTAGATGGGGATCTCCATTCATATAAGAAGTGGTGTTTCTTGATGCTAATGAAATCCTCGCCAACTGTGCAACATACAGGGTCGTGTCTACATTAATGCGTAGCCTAGAGCAGCATCCGCCGCAAGGGTACACGGCGCCCAGATTCAAGCAATTCAAGCTGAATGACCACAAGTCAACAAAGACCAAGAAAACCAAAGAACAGCGAGATGTATTGCGACATGTGTATAGCAGACCCAGCAAGTGGTTTGCTGAGATGTGCACGACGAGCGCGGTACTGAAGAAGTACTCAAAGCTATATCCCATAGTCGATTTTCTTTGTAAATAGCTGAGGTTTCTATCAAAAAAGCGTTCCGCTTTACTTCACCATGAAGATTGGCCGGTAGTTCAACCGTGGCGGTTGATTACTTAGGCTTGTAGGCAAACAGAAGGTACAATTACGACGAGTGCTTCCTTCAAAGGTCTGCTTGGTGTGAGGATAAGTTGCAAACTCTCACTTCTGTTAACGAAGCGCTTAAACAAACAGCGCCCTTACAACCACACGAGGTGTTCTAACCCAATTAATGTCATCGACCAGTATCGATCAATAATAATCAAAGAGTTATACGGATGGTGTTTTCTACCATTGTTATACAGCTGCTGCCTTGTACGAGACTAAAATAACGAGGTAGCCACATCTAAACGGCATGTGCATTTGCCATCAAATTCAATAAAACCCGATTGTCATACCATCCCCTTCTGAACCATCCTGCATGCGAGTATGAGTGCTGTGCTACAAGACAGCTACCGTCTTTATTTGGTCACCTCTACAATGGCGTTGGCCAGATAGTCGATGTTGTGACTGTTGACGCCGCACATATTGATGCGCCCGTTCTTGAGTAGGTACACGTGGAATTCGGACGTGAGGCGCTCAACCTGTGCCGGTGTCAGTCCGGTGAACGTGAACATGCCCCTTTGCTTCAACATATGGCTCCAGTCCTGAGTAGCACCTGCGTTCAGTTGGCGTGTGGATTGAACGAAGAAAGATGTGAGGCAACTATAATAGAATGTTGAAACAATGTGGGTGTCGAGGTGCTAATCAGAACAAATCATGCAACAACTAGAACTAGATCTTAATAAACAAAGTAGTATCAACGAAAGGATGAAACGCGACGAGTATATACGCAACAGACAGATACATCATACAGCATAACACGGTCTATCTACACGCTATATTCTTATGCTACAGACAGATACATTATACAGCATAACACGGTCCATCTACACGCTATATTCTTACGCGACAGACAGATACATTGTACAGCATAACACGGTCCATCTACACGCTATATTCTTGCACGACAGACAGATACATTTTACAACATAACACGGCCCATCTACACGCTATATGCTTACGTTAAAGCAATCGATTCAACTAATTTACTTGTATGGAAACGACAAGTCACTTCGATAAGAATCTCGTACCTTTAGCCACAATAGCATCGTGCAACTGCTGGCGCATACTGAGGATACGGCCACTCATGGTGTTCAGATCGTCCTCCCAGTCCTTATATAACGAGGCATCGCTCAGTATATTCGCTACAATGGCTGCTCCATGGTTGGGTGGGTTCGAGTACGAGGAACGGACAAGGATCTTCAGCTGCGACAGCACAGCAGCCGCCGCCTCCTTTGTGCTGAGGACTGCCGTTAAGCATCCCGCACGCTCGTCTGAGTAAGGGAACGGACAAATGATGACCACATAAGAACTTGTGGACACTTGGATATTTGCGAGGGTGGCTCGGGGGTGTATATGCATTTTTGTTCGCGCTTTGGAGTGTTTGATACTGCAATATTGCTCAATAAGCATACAAAGAGACTCCGCATATACTCGGAAAAACCGCTTGTCATCTGAGGTACGTCTTCGTGAGTACCGATGTGAGCGTTAATGTATGACAAGCCAGAATTGCACTTGACGTGAAATGTAGTTGTTCCCGTGCGCACTTGCTGGCTATCATCGTCTCTCTTCCTATCAATTTCTGAGATCATCAAACACTTACTGTATAATCCGAAGTTCTTCGAGCACGACTGGCAGACGAGGCACTCGAACCCTTGCTCAACAAAGTATCGGATTGCAAAGGCATCATCGGCAAGGTTGCCACTCATGAAACCCTGAATAAAACAGAGCATCATATACCATCAACGCCTTGCACGTTACACTGTGCATGAATACAGCACATGACCATATACCGGTTAATTGCCTATTAATAACAGACCCACTACCTACTGATTGTCAAAGGTAGGACTTGGACCTCAAACTTACCTGGTATGCACAATCGAACAAGGGGAAATGGCCCTTCTGCTTCATGACCACAGCAATCTGGGCCCATTGCTCATTGGTGGGATCCACTCCCGTGGGGTTGTGCGCACAAGCGTGCAGCAGCACAGTGGAGTGCTCGGGGGCTGCTTCCAGATCAGCGATCATACCTGTTATCAAAGTGAACGACAGGCCGACATCAAAATGTGTATAGTGCACTTATGTGATCAGAGATATATATATATATAAAGAATCTCGTACTAGCGTGATATGGTTAGATAGCATCGAAGCTGGTGTATCAATATGAAGAGACAGTCCTTAACAGATTACTGACGGCAAATGAATTTGAACGTCACAGGCCAACGACATAGATGAGCGGCATACGGGCCTTCTTGAACATACACATATACATACATATATGATACACTATCAATAGATAAGTATATATATTTATACAAACATACATGCATATATACATGTCAATGCAAGGTATCCAATGTGAGACACATCAAATGAAGAGCGGGCTTGCAAGCACTCCGTGAGAATCTTCGGATTGAAATACCTTCGAAGTCAAGTCCGCGAGTCTCCGCCTTGTAGTACCGGTATGGCAATATATCCAAGTTTGCACGCTTGAAGATAGCATTATGGTTGCCTGTGCAGATACAACACAGGAAAAAGCGAGAGGAGAGGAAGTTTGAGAGATCGGCATCTAAAATTGCAATACGCTGAACGACAAACCTTGCTTGACCTATCAGAAACCGGTGAGAAAGGCTGGGTATGACATTGGTCGCCTCCGTGAAAAGATTAAGTACTAGCGATATGAGCAACTTGTGTTATTCCTCCGAGTTATCAATTCCCCACCACCATGACTACTTGTAAGTTCGGATGTTTCAAATTAAGCATTTACACACCTCATCGTGCCTACTTAGAAAGCATATGGCAATCATATGCACCACTTAGTGATATAAGAAGCCTCTTTAGCACACATAGGGTTACACAGAAGCTCCATGCATACAAATAATACGCATATGCTTCATCATATTGACGCTGCTGGGAATATACAAACGATTGTCCCATAAAACAAAAGGTCCGACATAGACTACAGGAGCGTAAACACGATCTACAGTGACACCAGGGAATGGGTTGTATTAACTGGCGATATAATCATCGCAACTGCTACATTCACAACACAACTAAAATACTTGACACACTTTTGACTCACCCCACGTAGGTGTCGATACAAGTATAGTCTTCGATTGGTGGAACTTGGAGATGAACTCGGCGGCAATGCGCAACGCGCCGGTGCCACTGAGCATTTGCACGGCACAAGTACGTTCCTCTTTGATTGCTATCGAGTCCTTGCCCTAATTAACAGTGGTTATCGATGTTATACGCTTATGAGCATGTGCATGCGTATGTGTTCAAATATAATTTGGATATATTCAGGCGCAGACATACGCCCTCAGGCTATTTTCAGGCCGCCTGAATGTATGAGACAATCACATACCCAAAACAAGAATAACACGATTTGAAAAAAAATAGTCTCAATGTACATACAAACATATCGTGAGCTTACATACCAGGGCGAGGTCGCGCATACCAGCGTTGTACACGGGGTTACCATCAATAGGCAGATACTCGTGGTTCACATTCTTGAGTGTTCCTTCAACCTGTGCGTGAACAGAGCAATCGAAGCAAATAGTTTAATACGCGCAAGTCAGTGGGTTACGCACATCTGGTTTGGATTAAACATAACAGAGGATCTCGTCAACCGGTGTGTAAAAATAAAGGAGAAGTAAGTAGCCTGTTATAAGTAAGGCGGAATAAGCACATCGGGTTTATATCACATACACGATACTATCGGTTTACCAAACCCAGATACAGAGGACGAGTAAAGCTACTCAGCAGGTTCAGATGGCCAGTGTACTTGAAAACACATAGTCTCCGCGCGACTAACAGCACAGCACTTTACACGATAAATACTCGACTCCGGAGCGTAACAAGTGAGTTCCACCTCAATATTTTGTAACTTGTCCGCGCCGCATCACACGAAGTCAGTGTTTTGCGCTTTCGTGCTACGTTGGGCGCATACACTACCGCAATATATCCACACCAGTAATATTTTAACATAAGTAAGGACTAAATATTGAATCGTGCCTGCGCCGCATAGTTACCCACCTTTGCGACTGTAGGCAATACCCATGGCGTGCCCTCATCGGTTCTATACGCACCCACACTGAGGTTAATCTTTCGCGAGTCTGTGTCTGCCTTAAAAGCGTTCAGCACTGCGAAGATGGCGTCTGGAGGAGCCTGCTCGACATTGTCAAAAGTGCCCATGATTGCTTGTATTTGTGTATATCTGCTATGTACCTGTCGTTGATAGGTAGTGTATGTTTAAGGAACTGAATACGAATGGATATTTATTTGAGGAAAGATTCATACAGATATTTGTATTTGTTGTTGTAAAACTGTGCATGTGATTCTGATTAAATTCAGCCGGTTTTGGCGGTGACCGTCTGACCGACATCAGATATGATCAGGAATTAAAATGTATTTCTTTTTATAAAACTAAAAAGAAAACCAATGTAACCAAAACTGGGGGATTCAGAACTTCAGGGCTTCAGGGCTCAGCAGGGTCGGAGTCAGGGCCTCAGTTCAACCTCTCTATTGTTTTATATATTTATTTACTCTTTATAATTTTTTAATAGAGTAGGTGACCGTATCAGTGATTCAGTGGTCGTGGTTACGTCACTTAAGTGGTATCATTGGTTTTTTATATATAATATTTAGTATATTTTCAAAACAAAACAAAAAACGAGGACACCATTGCCCTATTAACTGGACCCAGACACCCGGTCCCCCTCACTGGTCCCTTCCCCACCAGTCCACAACTGGTCATTGAGAAGGACAGACGAACAGAGAGACTTGGCCAGTGGCCACCGCCCATAGACTCTTGAGACTTCGTCAGAGTTCAGACCGTCTGATTGTCAGATTGTCAGATTAACAGAGTCGCAGAGGGTAGCTGTCAGGATCTCAAAATCCCCAGACTTCATCAGAGTAAATAAATAGAGAATATTTTTTTTCATTCTTTTTTGATTGATTTGATTAAAAAACAAAACAAATACATACTCTCTACCTATGTGGTAGAGAGAGAGGAGTGAGCACTGAGCACTGAGTCAGAGTCAGAGTGAGTCTGTGAGCAGTGGTCAGCCACTGGCCAGTGGCCAGAGTGCAGTCTGACTGAGTGACTGTCACTTATTTATTTATTTATTTATTATTTATTTAGGTTGTGTCTGATGACTGAGTGAGCACTTCATAGAGGCGATTCGCCTAACCCCACCAGCAGTCGCCACTTCACCAGAGTTTAGAATGCATTGTTTTGCTTTTTATAAAAAAACCCCTGAGTTGATAATTTCAAACAAAGATAAATATTTAGCTACATTTGTGGTGCTACAGTAAATAGTCCTAATAATAAAAGCCCCTCCTACATAAGGCCCCAAGCTCAAGTCGTTTCCCGTTAAAAAACTGATATATCATAGCGACAAAAGCGTTTACGTTAAATTTTTAAACAAGCTATAGTAAAAACTAAAAAAGAACTAAAAACAACTGAGTGGATTTATTGGCTGAAACCTGAATATAAACACTTCAACGTTTAAAAAAAACGATCAGTCATCAGAGTTCAGACTCCAGTAAACAACACAGACCATATGACCATAATATCAACATAATTACTTTATAGACGTATTTGATTTGTTTTAGCCTTTTTTGTCTGACACATAGTCGTGACGAGACTGGCGACGACCAAATTCATAGTTCTATTACATCACACAACACAATCTTCGGCGGCAAACATGACAGCATTATGAACGACTTCAGATCCCAGCTTATCCAAGCCTTATACAGTATGCACCATGACATGATCGGCGAGAACAAGGTATGCAGCTTTCACAGATTCAATATATATATGTATATATGGAAA